TTCTGCCACAAATTCCCCCAGCTGTGAGCCTTCCAGCCTTGTAAGTATTCCTTTATATGTGGTTCAGAGTTCTGGGACCATCCCCTGAACCTGCTTGGTCGGGTATTGTGTGTTGTTGTTGGCGGAGCTCTCTGCTATACGTCCACCCGATCCGCCATCTTGTTTGTTCCTAAAACTTTTTTTTTTTTTTTTTGCTTTGTAATTGACTTCATTGTATATCGGTATCTCTGGTTCCCTATTTTCAGTCTTATGGTTTTGCTTTTCTTTAAATACCTGGATTGTCTCTCTGGGTTAATGTGCCAGACTGCAAAGCTGTTTGAACTTGCAAGGTCAGTGGTTCGAGCTCACCAGGTTCTCCTCAGAAACTCTATACAGGGTCACTATGCATAGGAATCGACTCAACAGCACTTAACCACATATCTTGATTGAGTTGTGGGTGGTGGTTTCATGTCTGGTAATCTCAGGTTATCTGTTGTTGGTTCTCAGTCCAACGAATACCCTTCAGTATTTTTTGTAAAGTTGGTCTGATCATTACAAATTCCTTTAATTTCTGTTTATCAGGAAACTCTGCCCTAATTTCGCCATTGTCTTTGAGGGAAAACTTTGCTTGGGCCCATGATTCTTAGTTGGTGATTTGCTTCTTTCTGAGTTTTGCCATATATGTCATCCCATTGCCTTCTTGCCTGCATGGTATTTGCTAAGAAATCACAGCTTAGTTTTATTGGTTCTCCTTTGTAGGTAATTCTTCGTTTTCCTCTAGCTCCTTTCAGGACTCTTTCCTTGTCTTAGATTTTAGAAAGTTTGATTATGATATGTCTTGGTGATTTTTTTTTTTTGCGGGCTTTATCCTGTTGGGTGTTTGTTCTGCTTTTTGTATGCTTATTGTCTCATCTTTCATGATGTTAGGGAAGTTTTTTTCTAACAGCTCTTTGATAATTCTCTGTTCTTTTTACTGTCTCTTCTTACTCTGGAATTCTGATCACCCTTAAGTTGTTGCTCTTTTTGGTGTCTCACGTAAATCTCAGGCTTTTTTCAGATTTTATCATTCTTCTTTCTGATTATTCTTCTAGCATACTAGTATTGAGAGATTTACCTTCAGCTTCACTAATTTGGACTTCCTGTTGCTTAAAATCTACTCCTTTGCCCTTTCATTTCCCATTTCTCAGATCTTAGTATTAATCTTTTTAATTGCAGGTTTTGTATTGTTTAAAAATTTGCGTTTATTTTGTCTGTGTGTTTTTGTAGTGTTTTCTGAGGTTTTTTATGGGTTCTCCTTGCTCTCCTCAATCTATGTGTCAATCCTTTGAGGATACCTAAATATGATTCTTTTGAATTCTGTTTCAGTTGGTTACATTACCTTTTCATCCTCAGAAACATTCTCTGGTTAGGGATAATTGAGCCAGGAAGTGGCAGAGCTAAATATGAACTAAAATTGTGACTTCAAAGTCAGTTCACAACTTTTATCTTATGTTGTCTCATTCATGCTTTGGGTTGAGATGCCAGAGTGTGACAGGATCTTGCTTCTCTCTGTGCATTGAGCATTTTATCTTTTATGACTTGTTAATTTTAAGAATGGACAAATAAAGATTTTTCAGTGACCAGACCACTTCATCAGGACTGTATCTGTGTGTGGGCTATTCTGTACCTATAGATTGCTGATAAACCCTAGACCGCTGCCTTGGTAATTCTCAGTGGTATGGTGGGCCTTTTTTTTTTTTTTTTTTTAAGGAAACTGACTAGCCAGTTTTTTTTAAAAATCAGTCACACAAAGATATTAATAAATTCTAATAATTTTATCATTTGTATCCAGTTAGCTGTTAACAGTCTAGTTGCTGAACAGTTTAATTTATTAATTAGAATAAAAGGATTTAACAGACCTGTTTTTTAAAAATTGCAAACTATCTTCAAAAACTCATGTTGGGGTTTTTGTTTCATGTTTACATTAATAATGGTGATTTTCAGCTTCAGTTTCAACAGTATTTTAAAAGAATATACATGCACAGAGCTGGTTGGACCCAGACATTGCCTCGAAATTTGAGGGAAGCTTTGACGTCATTCACTAAGTAGAATTATTGGTTTACCTAGGTGGCCTTCTGGTGAGGTTAAAATATCTCCAGTGGGCCACATCTTGTAGCTATATTTGGCCTTGAACTGCATTTTAGATGGTAAAGATTGCACAGACCGGAGTCAGAGAGGTATGAATACTGGTCCTGGCTCTGTGTGGTCTTACATCCTCAGCCCCATTTACCTCATACAAACAGCATGAGCGTAATGTTGAAGGTAATGTTTGTCAAGTGCCTTACACTCATGTACGATTGTTTGTAAATGTTATCAAACCAGTTCTAACTCAACAGCGATCCTATATAGAGTTTCTGAGAAGCAGCTAGTGTGTTTGAACTGCTGTCCTGGTGGTTAGTAGACTAAGACTGATCCTATGGAACTACATCGGGAATTCAGTGAGAATTGTGTAAATAACCACTTTCGCTTTAACTCTTCTTCTACTTGCTAAAACCCATCTACTGCTAACAGAAATTGTTTTCCAAAGCAAATATATGTTCATGGCAGATTTATGAAAATCATCATCTAATGGAATTTAATCCAGACATAATCTAGTGTTCCCATCCAATCAGCCCATTTCCTAAGAGCCGTCAGTAAATTTTTGGAGTCCCATAAATCACCTTTGTTACCACATCTTAGATCTTTTTTATTTTAAATGCTGAGAGTCCACTGTCCCACCATCTTACTGTCTAAGCTGATGTTTTACCTAAGAGGAGTCTTGGTGTGGCGCTGTAGGATAAATACTGGACTGCTCGCTGCAAAGTCGGCAGTTCGTACCCACCAGCTTTTTCTTGGAAATCTTATACAGGATTGCTGTGAGTCAGAACTGACTCAACAGCACTTAACAACAACAAGCTTTTGTTTGCCCAAAGTAGATAAATATATAAAATTTTAATATATGAATAACATGGTATTTTACAGTGAACTAGGTACTTGTCAAGAGCTTTTGTTTTATAGATAATAATTCATTATCTCTTTCTCTGTAACTTACACCCTGGGTAGGATCTGTGTGTAACAAATGAACAGGGATTTCTAAGAAGCAGATGGTTTTGAGAAAATTTACCTCAAGCTGGAAGAAGGCCAACTCCCCTCCAGCCCCTTCTCACCCCCACACCATCAATCCCTTTTCTACCGTGTCAACCACAAACCCACTAGACATGTAAGGGCACACGATTTCAGGTAGTAAGGCATTACTGAAGAATGCTGGGAAACACCAGACCTGGTAACACATGAAGTGGGGCAGTTCTAAGAGAGGTCTAGTGAGATCTTCCCCATGAACCAGTTGTCACAGTGACAGACTGTAGCCATCAGCCATGGCAAAAGGACATTATTAAAGTGTGTTCTGCACACTATCCTTTTTTAAGATTCGCTAACCATTTTCAAGTGTGAAGACAAATGTTAGAGTTGATTTTGAGTGTGGTATTTTGCCATATAGAATTAATGTGTTAGTTTGGTACCATGAGTTTTTCCTAAGGAGGCAGTTTAATACTTAGAAGAGTATGCTTCCATCTGTGAAATGATTGTGCTTGTGGAGACATTATCCACTGGTTCCAATCTATTAGGTTTGCATCTGTTAGTCTGATTTAGTGGATTTTTGCACATGGACAAGCTTACTACGCTTCTTGTCACGTTCTGTGAATTTATTTATTTATGTGCTGCTTTCTTTTATTTTTATTCTGCCCTCATATAACTCAATCTTTGTAGAGAAAATAGCAGTTTTGCCCTTTGGAAATATTGTTAGACTCTTGAGTCTAGTGTCTAGTGTTAGTCGTTGAATGTTTTAATTCCAGGGTTCGTTATGCTAAAATCTGCAAAAGGATTTGCCAAGTTGAGTACATTTTAAAGTATGGTAAAAGCTGAAAGAAGGCATTTCCATTCTTTCCTTCTTTTTTGATCTTCTGAAAATACTATTAAACTATAAAAAAAATTTGAAAATACAAGAGGCTAAAACAGTTACCAAATGAGATCACGTGACCCAGGTTGGTAAGGTATATAGTCTTATGTGCTTACTGCAATGCTGCCTTGTTGTTAAGTGCCATTGAGTCAGTTCCGACCCATAGCTACCCTGTATAGGGTTTCCAAGGAGTGACTGGTGAGCTTGAACCTCCAACCTTGCAGTTCAAATGGCTTTGCAGTCTAGCGCGCTAACCCATAGTGCCACACCAGGACTCCTTAGTTAGAAGAAGCAAATTCTCGTAGTGAATTTTGCAATGTCAGTACTTGACTGTTATGCCAAGTGTCTGCTCTCATATGATGCGGAATTGGGTGAGATGCAGCCTTGTTCTTCAGACACTCTATAGTCCAGCTCTAGAGAATGGTGCACATGCAGAAACCGCTTCATGAGGTGTCCGAGCATGGACAGAGTCAGTACTACAGGAGTGTAGATAAGGGAGTTATCTCCAGTTGGGTGTCAAGGATATCTTCATGAGAAAAGTGAACTTGAAGTCTGTCTTTACACTGGTGATTGCTGTTCTATTTCTAAATAAGTTTGAGGGAGAATGACAAGAATTCCAAACTTCTGCTTACCTTTGCTTTTCCATTTGGTTAACTGAGAGCTGGTATGTCATCATGGTTAAGGATGAGTGTGAGCTCTGGGGCCAGCCCTCTTAATCTCTATTTCATGTCCTCTTCTGCAAAATGAGCCTCCGGAATACTACTGACCGTGTAGAGTTATTTGAAAGATTATATAATTGAATGCACATGAAGCATTTGGGACAATAATCTGCCATGTTTTCAATAAATGTTACTTAGCGTCATCCAAGAGCCTTGGTGGTGCTGTGAGTCAGGCATTGATTGGGCTGCTAACCACAAAGTGGTGGTTTAATTCCTCTGCTACCCCTTGAAAGAAAGACAAGGCTGTTCCCATAAAGTCTTGGAAACCCTCTAATTGGTTGGTCTGAGTCACAATGAACTCAATGGCAGGGGTTTGCTGTTTTTGTATCCTCAACAATGTAAGTTACGATTCTTCAAAACTCAGTTCAGTCCTTTCTTCTCCAGGAAGCCTTTCCTACCAAACTAGAATGTGAGTTGCTCCCTTTATTCCCAGAGTGTCCACAGCATGTTGTCATTCTTGAGTGCCACTGAGTATTTTTTCACTCATAGCAACCCCATGTGACAGAGTAGGACTGCCTCTTAGAGGTTTTCCTTTAGCCGTAAGCTTTATGGAAACAGACTACCAGGGTCTTTCTCCCACTGACTCCCTGGGTGTGTGTTTAAACTGTTGACTTTTTATTTAGCAGCTGAGTATTTAACTGTTTGCATCTCCAGGGCATCTCGGCACGCCATCACCAGTACACCAGTTAATGACATGATTTCTAATTGTTGTCCGTCCCACTAAAGTTCCTTGAGGTTGTGAAATCTGTACGTGACCCACTTCAGCATTATCAAAAACAGTATTCCTAACACTTTCCATATTCAATAAATTTTGGTTGGATGAATTATTGAATTCAGTAAAGATTAAATATACTCAGTATAAGAAAAGGGTATTTTTACAAGGTTGATGGCAGTGATGGTGGAGCGAAGTGGATGAATTCAGGATATGGTTTGAGATACAGTTGACAGCATTTAGTGCTTGTGTGACACTGTGGGTTAATGTGCCAGACTTGCAAGGTCGGTTTTAACTGCAAGGTCAGAGGTGCAAGCTCACCAGCTGCTCCTTGGGAACCCTGTAAGGGTTGGTCACTAAGAGTTGGAACTGACTTGATGGAGATAACAACAAACAACAATTAATGGGTTGGATGTGGGAGGGGTCTAGGGAGACATAATTAATTCAAAGCTTGAGCAGCTGAATGAGGAGGACTGGGGAAAGAATTGGGTCTGTTCTGCAAATATTGTTGGAGGAGCCTACTCCACTTTTGAGTACAGTTATCAAATAGGAAGTTGGATATGAATCTGGAGCTCAAAGAAGAGATCAAGACAGGAAATAAAAATCAGGAAGTTGTTGTGTACCATTTGGTATTTAAGGCTACTTAAGGAGTCCTGGTGTGGCACTGTGGGCTAATGCGTCAGACTGCATGGTCATTTGAACTGCAAGGTCGGTGGTTCAAGCTCACCGGTGACTCCTTGGAAACCCTACAGGGTCGCTATGGGTCAGAATTGACTTGACGGCACTTAACAACAAAGAGCCATGGGAGAAAGATGAGGCTTTCTCCTCCCATAAAGATTTACAGTTGGGAAACCCTGTACAGGGTCACTATGAGTTGGAACTGACTCCACGGCACATAACCACTACCACCACCAAGGAGCTCTGGCAGCGTAATGGTTATGAGTCAGGCTGCTAACCTCACGGTCAGCAGTATCAAACCACCAGCAGTTCCACGAGAGAAAGATGACACTTACTGCTCCTGTAAACATTTACAGCCTCGGAAACCCCAGGCAGGGTTGCTATGAGTCAGAATCGACTCCACAGCACCAACAACAACAACAATTAGATCAAATTGCCTTGTGTAAGTTGAGAAGAGAAGAATGCTGAGAGCCAAACTATAGCACTCAAGCATTTTGCAGTGTGGAAGGGATGTAGAAGCTAGCAAAAGAAAGTAAGGCAGGAGAAAAACTAAAAAGTATCTCGAGGAATCGCCAATTGGGTCAAATGCTGCTGAGGGATTAGGATGAAAAGTGATCATTGGATTTAGCAACGTGGTGATTGTTACTCATTCTGGCCTCTGGGATACACTCAGGCGTGAATGAGAAGTGAAGGAGTAGAAATCTTTAGAAATTATACCCTGGAGTAGGCTGTAGTGGGTGGCCATGCTGTCTTCAGCATCACCAGCTGTAGGTTTCTAGTGATCCTGATTATTTCACGAAGACTCATGTTGAACTGAGGCAACACCCTCCAAAATCTGTTCCTCTCCATAAGTTTTCTGTCTAATGTAATGAATTCTCTTTCCTACCAGTGATCCACGCTAGATGCATATGCTTTCTGTACTCCTGTTCTCCCTCTCCTTAGCCCCACTTCATCAGTTGCTGTGGGCTGCTTAAATCTTCAGAGCATTATTCAAATTAGACTCCTCCTTTTCATTGCCCTTGCCACTTAATGTCGTACTTGCCAGGCACTAAATTAGCTTTTTTCCAAACCCCTCTAATAGTTATCTAAGTGCTCCCTGCTTTTATTCCCTCTCTTGCCAGTGCATCTACCCGTCACAGCTAGACTGTTTTTCCTGAAGCACAGCTTTACTCATGTTATTCTCCTGCTAAAAATATAACTAAGTCCTTTTAGTCTGACATTCAGAACTTTCTACTCTGTTAACCTTACCTCCCACTGCTTTTCCTTCCTTCAGCCTGCTGCTCTCAAGTATTCACTGTGTGGTGCTGTGGGATAAAGCACTGACCATAAGGTCGGCAGTTCAAAGTCACCAGCCGCTCTTTGGAAACCCTATACAGGGTCGCTATAAGTCAGAACTGACTCGACATCACTTAAAAACAACAACAACATCTATAACCTGGCCTCTGTGCTTTCACTTTCACCTCTGATTGGCCTGCCTTCCCCTCCCAAATCTTATACAACTTCCATATTCACAAATGCCACACTGTAGGATAAGAACTGGATTGAAAAGTGGGTTTGAACCACAAGGTGATGGCTCAAACCCACCAGCTGCTCCTCAGAAACTCCATAAAGGGTTGCTATGAGTTGGAATTGACTCGATAGCACATTAACGGCAACAACAATTCGCTCTAAGAAATGATGGAGAACACCCTAAAATTTAGGAAATTTCAAGTGTTTCATTGCTATTGCTGTAGTTTGTCAGCTCTATAAAAGTTCCATACTCTTGGTACTTAGAACCAACCCCAGTTACCTGTATCACCACTACGTCCGCCAGTCTTCTCTTCTAGGACTTAGGAACAGGAATGATTTACTCTCTGAAAGGAAACTCCTTGAAAACGGTTCCAGCTGGTGTGGAGCAGTCTGTGGGCCTTGACAGCCTGTAAATGGGACTGACTCTGAGAATGGGCACCCTTTTACGGCAGCCCTCTTTTCTCAGCAGCAGCTCCCCACTATTTGATGAAGCTGCCAGAGGCTGAAAGATGAGCATGGCCACTCTACACGAAGAGCAGAGCTCCTCGACTGGGACATTTCTTGTTAATGCAATCGACATTGGGTCCTTTGTTTTAGGGTTGCTGGTGTTTGAGATGGAGGCATGGGAAGAGCAATGTGTGTGGAATTATTGCGCTTGAGTGTCAGCTTTTAAGAACAGGAGATGTCTTTTAGACATGTGCTCTCTACACATTCTCAAAGAAGAGAAGCTTGCTAAAGATTGTAATTTTAGAAGAATTAATTATTAAAGTAAAATAAGCAATTAAATAAACTTTGTACTCTTGTCAAATCCCGTTCAGTGGTCCTAGGGAACTGCTAACATTAGGTCATCAATATAAAGAAGGTATCTTTCCAAGACGTTCTCTTGACTTTGTGTTATGTATTTCAGCTTTCATCCCTTTTTTTTTTTTTTTTCACTTTAAACCAGGTGTTGTTGTGAAGTGCCATAGAGTCAGTTCTGACTCATAGCCACCCTGTCTAGGGTTCATATGGAGTGGCTGGTGGATTTGAACTTCCGACCTTGTGTTTAGCAGTCACTGCATATCCTACATCATGAAACCAGGTGTTTAGCAAGTTTAATGTGTACCTAATTGGCCCTTCAAAAACATAATGATTTCCATGTTGAATTTTTTGTTGTTGAAGTCAGATGTTTTCAGTGGAAGAGTTCTTTTTTTTTTTTTTTTAAGAAAGAAAACTTTTTATTCTTGAATAACCAGTATGTGATGCATCACAGGCAATCTGTTAAAGAGATTCCAAAGACAGAAGGGAATCTTATCCTTTGTACAGTTCCACGGATACAACTGTATGTGTTTTCAAGATAATGTGTGTTCTTATAATTTTCTAATATCTTGAGGGTATCTGAAGTCATATGAAACTTCTTACAGGAAACGGGGAGGTAGAGGTGATCTTGACGACTACACATGGCTTTTCTTTTAAACTTTTCATTGTGGATTGAGTGAAGGTGTACAGACAAGATCATCAATATTACATTCAACAAACCATTCACTTTGTTTCATCTCAATGATTGCAATCCCCTTCATGCAACAGCTGTTACCCAACTTCCTCCCTGTGATTCCTATTTCCATTCCACTGGCTCATCCCTTCTGAACTTTGTGCCTTTGATTGTGAATGATTGATCACTCCATGGTGAGCATACCTTACTAGTGTTGTTTCCCCTATATACCTGTCTACTGCTTGACTGGAAATTCACCCACAAGGTGGTTGAGGACCATAGTCTCAGGTTCCTCCAGTCTCTTTCTGACCCGTAAGCCTGGTCTTTTTACATAATTTTGAGTTTTGTTTCACGTTTTTGCCTGTTCTATTCTGGACCTTCTAATGTGATCCCTTTCATAGTAGTTTGTAGTGGTAGCTGGGCACCATCTAGTTCTTCCGGCCAGAGTCATGGAAACTGGTGCTCACATGTTCCATTAATCCATTGGACTAATTGATAATTGAAGATACTTTGAATGAAATGAAAAATTACTTTTTTTTTTTCTGGCAATAATAGGATTTTGATGCAGTTAATGGGACGCATAAATCCCAAAGTGCCTCTGAAGCTGGGGTAGGTTGGGATGAGCCCTATTTCCTGCAATGATACCGCCCCCCCCCCCCCCCCCAGATGACAGCATACACCTAAAAATGGGAGAGCAACTTCCCACTGAATACCAGAAGTTGAAGATGTAGATGGGTGCTATATGTCCCACAGTCACAAATTTGAGCTTTTAATGAATGAAGTTCGACTGTTGGTGGAAGGGAAACAATTGCATGCTTTTTTTTAAAAGATGGGGTTGAAAGGAACTTCCTTTCCTAGTTACTGAGCCATGGTGCTGGTGCATTATTGTGTGGGATAGGTGTGTTGGGGAAAAGAGGAGTGTGGTGATGGTGGCTATCTGATTGAAAAACCTAAACTTTGGCTGTTGCATGAACATCATGGGACTTTGAGCGGGCACCTTGCCAGTCCCTTCTATCAGCTCTTAATTGTAGTCACTATTTTGGAGCATAAAGGGTATTGTAATTGGTGGAATGTTATGCTGGTTTGAGAACTCAAAACGTCTCTAGAGTTTGAGTAAATCTTAGAGTGAAATTAAAGATAAATGTCTTATATTTTGAATGGGAAAACTAACCTTTACTAAATAAATTTACCTCTTCAAAATTACTCTTAATTAATCCTAGTGTGGTGCTTTGGGTTAATGCACTTAACTGCAAGGTTAGTTTGAATCACAGGGTTGGCTGTTCAAGCTCACCAGCCGCTCCTTGGAATCCACTTGAAAGGCACTTAACAAAAACGGAAACATAAGAACAAGTATGAAACGACAAGGGAAATCATAAAAACAACTTGCTTTGCCTTCTTTGTCAAAAAATGTTTTGTTTTGAGAGAGTGGGACATCCAGTTTCTGAGCTTGTGTCTTGCCTAGGAAGAGAGTGAAATCAAATTGGGTGATGTTGAGAAGGTCAAGAAAATTTTTGTTCAGCAGTGTGCCCAGTGCCACACTGTGGAAAGGGGAGGCAAACACAAGATTGGGCCAAATCTGCCTAGGTTTTTTTGGGCAGAATACTGGTCAGGCCCCTGGATTCTCTTATACAGGTGCCAATAAGAGCAAAGGCATCATCTGGGGAAAGGACACACTGATGGAGTATTTGGAGCATCCCAAGAAGTACATCCCTGGAACAAAAATGATCTTCGCTGGCATTTAAGACGAAGGCAGAAAGGGCAGACTTGATAGCTTATATCAAGAAATCTACTAATGAGTAGTATTTGACCGTTGCTTTATTTATTACAAAATAGGAATGTCTGTGACTTCTTTTTTACATGTACCATATTTAAATTGATCTCATAAACCAGAATTAAGATCATGAATGGTTGATAGAGTTTTTTTGTTTTTTGTGTTTTTTTTTTTTGGACAGTCGTAAATTAAATAAAAGATTGGTTGTGGTTAAATGACAACAACCAGACTTTTAAATTTTTGATAGTGTTATGGCTGCTTTTCCCTACGATACGATTAAACCTGAGGCTTGGTTGGATTGGTAATGTTCCGTTTTTCACAATAATGGTGACTGCCATCTCATGACCTATAAGAGGTTGATTTTATATTTAAATTTGTATAACTGATTATATGAATATATTTAAATACTGGAGAAATCTTTTCACTGCATCATGGAACAAGTCTCACCCTGTTTCAATATGGAGTCATCAGTGTTCAAATGCCAGGGTGGAAGATAAGGTAGCAATGGCCACTTTATCTTTTCTGCTTTTAACTGTTAATCTAATTAAAATTCCTTGTATGTAAAATGTTCCTTCTTAATTAACAAAAAGCCTTTCAGTGTGGTTTGTGTGTGGTATCAAGTAAAGACTCTTTCACACTTCTCCCATTGTATAGATGATCCATAAGGTCAGATGCTTTTAAAAGTCAGCATGATGAGATACAGTAGCAAGCTGAAATTTGCTTGTAAGTTCTTTACTAAGACTATGTTGTTTTTCAGAATATCTTTTAACAGCTATTCAAAAGCACTTAAAACTATTGAACTGTTGTACATTTGTGATTGGTGATGTGCTTTGACCAACTTATTAGAAGGAGTAAGGTAGAGATATCAGCACAAATTTGTAAATTCTGTAATAAGGTTTAAGATGGTGAAAAAATAACAGATTATGGGGGAAAAAAAGTTTTGTTTTGCATTTGTTCCTCTGTTTTCTCCGGTTTTACATTTCCCCAGGAAGAGTTTGTATTTCAGCAGCATCCTTAATTGACGTAGACAAACTCATCAAACCAGAGGACTTCCCCTAGGCTTAACTCATTTATGGCAGCATGAACTGTGGACCTCACTCCTTTGATATGTGCCTTCTCCGCCTGTTAGAAAGGGGAAATACTTGCTCCTCTTCTTGATTAATTTCTCATTTTAAAAATCTTAATAATCTTTTTGCTAATTATCAGTGGAAGGAAAGTTCTGGAGTGCTTTCATAAATTGCTTCCCTACATAATGAGATGGTTTGTTGCAAGACTTAAAATACTGTGTTTTCTTATTAGTGTTTTAATTGTTTAAATTTTGACAGAAATGTTTTGAGCCATTAATATGGACACAGTAGAACAAACTGAAACAAGTTGCTTTAGGTTAATCATATTGAAAATTTCAGTAAAGCATTGTTGTATGTGAGCATTCAAAAGTATCACCCTGGCCATTTAAAGTACATACATCTTTATTATGACGTAAGAGCAGTTTCCATTGTTAATAGATTATTTTAAACTTGCGTTTTCTTTTTGTTTTTTTACAGGAAGGAACTTGAAGCCTTCAAAGGTAATTGTGCTTAATTCTTAAAAGCAGTTGAGTGTTAATTGATGTCAGATGTTTTCGATGATGAAATAATTCATTCCTTTAAAAAAAAAAAAACTGTATACATCGAAAAGTAAACATTTCCTTAGTACTGTTTTTGTAGATTTTATTTCATCACAAGTGGTTTTGATACTCTCTTTTATCTATAATGCATGCTCCAAGTGATCATTTCTGTTAATGGCTAATATAAAGTAGTATGTCATGGGTGTTGTTAAGAATAATTGTCCACGTAGGTTCTGGTTTCTGTTGTGGAAAGGATGGGCCCTGTGGAGAGGAGGTGGTGGTAAATAAAGATGGAGATGTGCCTCTGCAACTGACTTGGCTGTCACTTGACCCACCTGAGAGGTTTCCCATACTGGGAACCGCACTGCCATTCTCTTCAACTTTGATTAAGTTGCATATGTTTCCTGAAGGCTCAGGTTTTCTAAATGTAAATTTAGAAGTTCTGATGAAATAGCCCCTGAGATTATAAAATCATCTAGCATTTGGAGTAAGCACAGAAGAATAATTCTTTACTTTGATGTCCCTTTCTGGTCATGAAGAAACACTAGTGGAAAATACAGAAAGCCATATGCTTTCCAGCAGTTCAAGGCCTTCCAATTTGCTATTTTTTTAAAATAGCTTTTAGTTGCCACCACATTGACTCAGGCTCATGGTGACCTTACGTACAGAATGAGCGTTGTGTGTTCCTGCACTAGCTTGGAGATCATTCATATGTTCAAGTCCGTTGTTGTTGTTGTGTTGGTCCATCAGAGGTTTTCTCTCTTTTCTGCTGATCTTCTTCTTTTTTTTTAACCAAACATACAGTCCTTTTTTTTTTTTTTAAGGATCCATAAGCAAGATGATATCTGTCTATCTTTGCTCGTAAGGAACATTTATTTTGCTTACGGTCTCTTTTCCATTCCCAGTTTCTCATTTGCAGTTAAATAGTAGAAACCAGTGTTGTCAGAGAGACTTATTTCAAACCAGGAAGACTTGACCAAAGAAACTTTGGGCCATCAAGTCAATTCTAACTCACATTGACACTGCACAACAGAGTACAACTGCCCACAAGGTTCCCAAGACTTACACTGCCACAGCTTTCTTCTGCACAGCAGATGGCGGATTCAAACTGTTGACCTTTTGGTTAGCAGCCAAGCACTTAGCCTCTATATCACCAGGTCTCCTGGAAGACTTTAACTGCTTATTAAATAACTTGTGATTTAATTGTCTTAAGCACATTACATTTCACATACAAATGATCGCTGACCTGTTCGTTTCACTGAATCATTAAATATAGTCTGATATATCTCTCAGAGTTGAATCGTGTAGGTATTTGATCTGTTTGCTTGTTTTAGAAAAGAGTGGCTAATACTCCAGAAAAAGAAGGCTTAAAGACTTATTCCTAGTGTAACTATAATTGTACGGACTTGTTTTGGCTCAGTTTCTATTTGACTAACTGCAGTTGTACATGATTAAGTTCTGGTCAGCTTGCTGAGGGTAATGTTAAATGATTGTATTATATAATATACTATTATGGCTACAATTATTCTTACTCAGTTTTTGAACTGCTACCCTTGTACATTATTTTTCATTAGTAGTTTGAAATAAGATTTGAAGCCCTGATGAAATGGCCTTTTTCTCTCTTGTTCTTTCTTTTGGTAGACAAGTTTAGCATCTTATGTAACAGTAAGGTATGGGGGTGGGGAACCTAATTAAGTTAATACTAAAAGACAGGCAGGGACCCAGATTATGTAAAATGTCAGTTTTATTTGCCTCTGAGTACTAAGACATTTCTTTTTTTTTTTTTTTACAATATGACACACTTCACCGAGTAAGAAGAAAAACCCAGCAGTTTGCAAGAGGTTAGCTAGAGTTGCATATTACCCAATAGAATAATTCAATTTCAGCTTCAGTCTCTTGTTTATACCCACACTCCTAATTATGTGCCGAATTTAACAGCACATGAGATATGCCAACAGGCCAATTAAAGCTCTCAACTTTGAACAAACCCTAAATTGATTATTGCGTTTTATCTGGTTATTTTTTGTTTTTGTTTTTTTTACTATCAATGTTCATTAAAATTCTTTCCTCTTGAGTATTTCATTAATATTTGAAAAGATGAACAGTGTATTATAAGAAAGGACGAAAGAACAGTACTTTTCCAGGGTATTTTTGCTGTTAAGTGCTGTCGAGTCAATTCCAACTCATATCAACCCTGTATAGGGTTTTTGGGAAGCGACTAGTAGATTTGAACCACTGACCTTGTGGTTAGCAGTCCAATATTGTTCAGTGCTGTCGAGTCAGTTCTGACCCATTGCGACCCTGTATAGGGTTTCTGAGGAGCGGCTGGTAAGCTTGAACTGCTGACCTTGTGGATCTGACTTTGCAGTCTAGTACATTAACCCACAGTGCCACACCAGGACTCTAGTCTATTATTAGTTCATTTATAAAAATAAAAAGATTCAAACATGTTGTAAAAACGTATTGCTTGAATATTTTTTTCCTTTTCAAATAGCAAGAAAACAAAAGGTATTACTTCCTCTAGTTTTTTGTTTTATTTTTTTCAACTTCTAGTTATATTTAGTAGGTCTTTTCTAAGTCGGGGAAAAACTAAGTTTGAGACCAAAACCCAAAGTTAGTAACTCCTAAGTTAATAATTCCAAGTCCTGGTGTGGTGCCATAGGATAAGCACTAGACTACAAGGTTGGTTTGAACCACAAGGACGGTGGTTCAAACTCACCAGCTGCTCCTCGGAAACCGTACACAGGGTCGCTATGAGTTGAAACCAACTCAGTGGCACTTAACAAGAAGTTAGTAATAGAGCCCTGATATGAACTTGGTGGGTAAGCACTGGTCTGTCAACTTCAAGGTCAGCAGTTCAATCCCACCAGTCATTCCTTGGAAACCCTATATAGATACACTAAGTTGGAACCAACTCAACAGCACTTAGCAACAGCCAACAAGTTAATAATAGAAGTCAGTATCCTTCACTGAATTCTGGATTCTGCCATGTGTACTGCCTTGAGGTTAATGGGTCATGTCCACCTTTCACTTCTGTCACATAAAGCACATCTCTCCAGTATTATTAAAACCAACTGTTTCTAGTTTAATATTGGAGCTTTCTGGGTTCTTAAAATATTGCATTCCTTTAAACTCTGTGGTGGCAGTCACTCAAGTATCAGACTATAAAAGGAGAAAGATAGGGTCTTAAAAGTCTTATCATTTTATATTTTACATGAGGAAGGGCTTTCATTATTGTAAGCTCATGTGAACTTTTCATCGTCCTTAAAGACATGGGAAACTGGCTGTACATAGGCATGCGTGTTCTTCAGGAATTATCATTTTTCTACTTTAATTTTTAAAATAGATTATCATCCCATGTATAAATCTTAAAATTGCCTACCTCAGAGATATTGTGGAGTCCTCTTCCAAACCCCTGCAGTAAAGTGAATATCACAAAAAGTGTGCCACACGAATTTTATTTCCCAGTACATGTAAATGTTATGCTTACACTACACTGTAGTCTGTTAAAGGAGCTGTGAGTCAGCAGTTCAACCCACCAGTCACTCCTCGGGAGGCAGATGAGGAGGTTATCTGCTCCCGTAAAGATTCACAGTCTTGGGGATTTTATATAAGGTTGCTATGAGTCGAAAAAGACCCAAAGGCAGTAGGTTTGGGTTTTGGTAGTCTAGTAAATATGCAGTAGCCTTATTAAGTAATTGAGATCACGTGAATGACCAAAATGTGACACCACGGCATGAAGTGAGCGCATGCTGTTGAAAAACGCTGCCTATAGACTTGCTTGATGCAGGGTTGCCACATGCCTTCCCTTTGTAGATTGAATAAAACAAACTCTTAAGATTTGTTACTGTATCTTTAAAATCTAGAAATACCATTACTGAAAGAGGTAGAGGTAAGAAATCTAGAATTGGGTACTGTCTTACTGCCATAGGATTCTTGCCTTAAATACTCTTGATTGATGGTGCATGGAAAGGATTGTAATCATTGGCAGTGAAGCAAAGTGCAATTGGTTGAGTGCAAAACTAATCTTCTGCAACGTAAACTATCACCTAATTCATAATAAAAGCTTAAAAAAAAAAAAGATTCTCGACTTAGGCAATCTTGGTCTTTTACCTTTACTCAAGTACCTCATCACATTGGCCATCCTTCTCTGTCTTCTCTCTGAGACGGGCTGGTGGATACCCACCATGTGCTGAGTGCCCATGACTGGTAGTGTGCTCTCCGACGCACCCAAAAACCCTTCTGCTTCCTCAAAACCCTTCTGCTTCTCCAGTTCCGTTGAATGCTTTCCCAGAGTGAGTTGTGTGTGTTCTTGAATTCACTTATGCTCCTGGTACATGCTATTATCCTGTGCAATTTAATGAATGCTAGATAAAATGGTGAGACTTCACTGTTGGTGAGAAAACAGAATTGGCTGCTTTGGAAAAGACTTAATAAAGGCAAATCTCTTTTTTTAAAAAAATTCATGAAAATGATAATAGTTAAGAATTAGGAGAGCTATTGAGAAGAAATCATTAAAATCCTGCAAGATTCTGTACACAGATTGCATAACATGGCTTAAGTTCCTGCTTGTCTTCAAGGAAATACTCTAAAATTTTTAACCAGTTTAATATGGATGGGCAAGAATGTTCATTCAGTGGATCCAAGCTTAAGATCATGAATTAAAAAAAAAATTATATGTTAAACTGAATGTTTCTATTTTTAGTAGATTATTATAGTTAATTTTAAAAACAAAAAGTTAAATGACTAATATAGGTCCCAGTTGTATAATAATCAGAGATTTAGTGCCTTATTTGATGTAAAATACCTGATCATTCAGAAATATGACTGCTGTTGTTGTTGTTGTTAAGTGCTGTCGAGTCGGTTCTGACCCATAGCAACCCTAAACAGGGTTTCTGAGGCTGTAAATCTTTATGGGAGCAGAAAGCCTCATCTTTCTCCCATACCCACCCTGAACAGGG